AGGCTCCTCATGGATTTCCTGCCTGGAAATCTTTTCCTTATGTCGGCTGTCAAAGGAGAAGGTGAGGAAAAATCTTGCAAAAGCAGATCAATAGGTCTGAAGGTACTCCCACTGGTAAGAATTATATTATAAGTAGATTGGAACATTCTTACTCCATTGTGCATGGAAACTGCCTTAAGTGGAGTCATAAGACCTACCTTGGGTTCTAATTCTGGGAGAAAGGCAGCATATGCTGGAGGGAGAAATAGAACAGTCCAGTGGGGACTGCATCAGTGGTGCAAAGGAATCAGATGTTAAACTGCTGAGATAAAATGCTGGTGTGTATCAGCCCAGGGCTGCTGTTTACCACTGGGTTGTGCATTACCCAAATGTGTAGTCCCCGCCAGGGATTTGTCAGACAATTATCATTTTGTAACTGGGAATTTGGTTTCATAATACCAAAAATGAGCCAGTGTTTCTGTCCAAAATTAGTTTTCTGGTCCTTTAATAAGGATAATTTGTTGCCTAAACATGTGGTGCACAACACATTCAAACAGATGGTTTAGAAATGAGATGGAAAGCACAGAAAAAACAAGTGTTTGGAGGGCAGCCGAGTGTCCTGGAATGGCTACTAGATATTTCTGTTGTCCTCGCAGTGGCAGGGTTTGGAAGCCTGGCTAGTTAACAGCCTAGGCTCATATTGTGCTGACAGATTCATGCTAGACTGGAACATTTTGCTTTTAAAGCCATCTTCCTCCTCCTAATTTGCTTTTGCTCCCGATATGCCGCTTAAGAATTATATTCTAAGCCTTTCCCCCTTCTCCCCGTGACATCTTCATCGCTGCTTCATTAACTGGTGCACCATCGGTGCATTTCATTACAGCCTCTCTCCTCACTCGCTGTGCTGATCTCTGATGCAGATACAAACCAGCTATCAAATGCTAGGCACTATTTATCTTCCTCGTGATTCAAAAGAAGGGAAAATTGGCTAAATCATCCCAGGGGCAAACACATCGCCATATTTGTCTCTCTCCATATTCCGACTCCCTCCAGCAGCTGCTGGAAAGAAATTTAGTTAGGAACAGTTGTTGGGTTGCTTTGTCTGCGTGTGTTTTAATCACCCTGAAAAGATTCCATGTTACAGCCCTTGGGGAAGGAAGGATTTGATCTGAAGCAGTTTTCAATGAAGCAGTCAGCAAAGAAGCAGCATGATTTCCAGTAAAACGAAAAGATCCTTGTTTCCTTACAAATGCTTCGGCATTAGCATAAGGCAGCCTTCTTTGCAAGGACTTGTGTTAAGGAAAGAGTATGGCTTCACAAATTAATCTGCTGGTTTCAATTTTTTTTGTGTGTTTCTCAGAATCCCCCATTTGGTTTTGACTAGAGATGAGGACGAGTCACCATTTTGGCGAGTTCTCCTGCTTCGTGAGCCATTAAAAGTTGACGACTCACGAAGCACGAAGCTGCCCCCATGAACCAACGAAGCACGAATTTATTCATCATTTTGTGGGGGGTTACTAAAAAAAACCCTGACCCCTGCCACCCCCTTGCTCCCCTGCACCGCTGCTGCCTCCGCCAATGCCCCCCACCATCCCTGATGCCCCCCACCATAATCGCTGTCGCCACTGCTGCCATTGCCGCCATCTCCAACTGGCCTCCACAGCCACAGCCTGTAGAAAGGGACATTGGTTGCCCTTTGCAAAGATGACGGTTGCGGCTTTCCTATCCTAAGTGAAGCTGCAGCTGCCATCTTTGCAAAGGGCACTCAGTGTCCCTTTCTACAGGCCATGACTGCAGAGGCCTGCTGGAGATGGCAGTGGCAATTATGGTTGGGGACGTTGGCAGGGGTGGAGGTGGAGGAGGGGGGGTGACATGGCAGGGTGGTGGTGGTGGGTGGTGGCTAAGGTAGGGAGAGGAAGGGGATGGGGGATAGGCTGTGGGGGTGGGTAGCTGCCTAGCGGCTTGCTGATCAGGTGATCGCTGGGCTAGTAGGCAGAATGGGAAAGCCATAGGAAGAGTGAGAAGGCCAGCCTTCCCTCTCTTCGTATGGGTGAATGAATAAAAATGGGGAAATATTCATCCCTTCATATTTGTGGGGGTCTCTGGAACCAACAAATATGAATGAATGAATATTTAACCAATCAGCGACTTCTGACGAATATCATGATCTGTTTTTTTATTCGTCCCCATGTCTAGTTTTGACCCATTCCAATTTTGTACTTCCTGTATGGAAATCCATGTGCAGTTTCCCTCAAATGTACACAATTTGGTGTACAACATTTTCATTGCCTCCAGCCCCAAAGGAAATAAATAAGGCAGATAAGATGAGAGGA